TTTTTTTTTCGTTCAGAACGACAAACTGTCCGATTACCTTACGGATACCCAACAGCTTCTAAAAGATTCTCGTAAGAAAACGGATGATTCGCGAAAGGTAAGAGATTTTTGTTTAATGGTGAAAATTTGAATGGATAATAGATGAAAGAATTTTTTCAGGCCGCCACCGGACTATCCACCTTGAGACTCGAAGGGCTTATCAAAGCACTGTCGGATGGACGTGAAAAGGCTTTAGATGAACATAGAATTGTCAACGAAACGCTGCTGGAAGTGAGCTGACCTCGGAAAACTTTACCATATTTCAGGATCTTACTTTTCACTTATTTAAGGTGAGAAATCTCACGGAACAAGCGAAAGATTCGCGTGAGGCTATAGGCAATTCAATGGCTAATATTGCTGAAATCAGAGCCGAACTGGCCGAAGCGACCGAACCAAAGCGAGAAAAGCGAGCGATATCGTTCGATAAGGTGGGACTTTTGTCACAAAATTTTTATTTTTATAAATCTAGAAAAAGGAAAACTGTCATTCCCACAATTTAGGGCCCCGTCAACATAAGAGTGGGAGAGCTGGAAGCTGAAGCAAATCGGCTTAATGATACATTTGGCGACACTAGAATGGAGTCACAGGTCTGTTTTTTTCTATTGCTTTGCAAACGTGGCCGCTTTTGGAAAATTCTTTTTATTCTTTGCAGGAAAATCTATGGTGAAATATTCCCAAAAGCATAATTAGTTTACTTTCAGAACGCTGTAGAAGCTGCTTCTGCTTACGCCAACATCACAGAATCCCTCAAGACTGCGCAAGAGAAAGCCCAATGGACCATAGATGAATTAGCCAAACTCAAAAACAAAGTTGATGAAAATGTAAGCTACAGTAATATTACAGTAGTTTTGCATGAAAAGATGAAAATTTACAGAACGAAGGCGTGAAAAATGCCCTAAATCAATCATCTGTACTAATACGTCAAATCTCGGATCTTCAACAAGACACCCTAAATGGCCTAAAAAGGGAAGCTGAAGATACGGAAAAGAGAATTGAGAGGGTCAGAAGGACTTCATACTTCTTTCAGTGTTCCCTTTTGGCGAAGAGATTGTTTAGGCTTCCACAGCTGTGGAGGGAATGCGTCGGACTTTAGAAGGAATGCGAACATCTCTAAAATCGCCCCTAAATGAATCCGCATTCGATGACGTAGAGAAATCAGCTGACCATGTGAATAGCCTGCTTGTTGATTCAGCCAAGGTAAGTAGGATCAAAATAAACTAGTAGACATTGATGGAGGAGAGGAGGAGGGGGGGAGGGGGATTCAG